TATGGCTCAAGCTTCTTGCTAGCTAAGCTCTTATGTCTTTAATTAACCTGTTTCTATTAACCTATCTTTTGCCACATGTTCCGTGGCATTATGGGTCTGCTGGCATGTTGTTCCTTGGGCAGCAGGCTGACATCTCTCCTGCCTCTCCTTTCTTCCTCCTGTCTCTCTCTCTCTCTAGGATTTCCTGCCTGGCTATAACCTGACTCGCCATAGGCCAGAGCAGCTTCTTTATTAACCAATCATAGCAACACATATTCATAGCACACAGAAAGATAGCCCACGGCAAAAGGGAGCATGCAGAGCAGAGAAGTGGTGTGTTTATAGTATTTACGTGATTGATAGGATCTGAACTGTGGCTGTGTCTATTCAAGTTGGAGGCTTGTGGGCCAAGCACAGTGGTGCCTGCCTGTAATCCTAGTACTTGGGAGACAGAGGCAGGAGGATCAGAAACAGGTGCCAACCTCAACTATATAGTGAATTTAAGGCTGGCCAAGGATACATGAGACTCTCTTTGTTTAAAAAAAAAAAATTAGATGGCTGTGTAGACAAAATATTATTTTCTCCACAAGGGAACAGATATGCTATGTGTGTGACACAGCTAAGGAACAGATATGATATGTGTGTCTTGCACAACTAAGGAACAGGCTTAAAGGGCTTTCTCCCCAGCTACAGTAAGCCCTCTTCAAACACCTGCCAGGCTGCGAGTTCTTTGAAAGTTACGCGGAGGGAAGTTTGCCAGATCTCACTTCCTAGCCACAGGCTTGAGATCGTGGGTGATGCTGCGACTCATTGAAAAGTCTTATTTCTCATCCCGTGTCTAAGAAGAGTGACAGGTACGGCAGGGGAGAATGCTTTTCTTTTGCTTTTCTCTCTTTCAATCTCTGTGTGTGTGTGTGTGTGTGTGTGTTTCTCTCATGCCACAGCATATATGTAAAGATTAGAGGACCTAAAAAAACGTCATACCAAGTAAAAAACAAAGGGGGTGCCGGGCTAGAAACAGCACCCAGAAGACCTGGCTGAGAGGTGATGGTTTAGGGAGACCTAAGCAGTGAGAGGGCCCTGCACTGGCACCGTGGGCCCAAAGGTACATCACGAGGCCCGTCAGATCTTATGTAATGAAGATAACAGAACGCCCCGGTCTCAGAGTTGTCCTGGAGCTGAACTGTTCCATGTATGTAAGTCATCTGGCTCAGTGCCTGATGCATAGTAGAGACACTAAACAGATGTTCACTTAGTCTCATAGTGGGACACTCCCAGTCCTGCATCCCTGATTTCCGCCTTTCTCTGACTTTGACCCCAGGGAACTCCACCCTGGCAGGGAGTGCCAACTGCGGCGTCTCTGGCTCCCTGGACAAGCAGACAGTTGAGAGCGGGGACCTTCCTGACTCTCCTCAGACATGCCGTGGGTGGTACCTGCAGCCTGGCGTCACTGTCCCAGGCGTGACAGGAACAGATTCCCTGAACTGGAGACATCGGGCCTCTGGAATCGCTGAAACCAGTGGTTCTCAACCTGTGAGTTGTGACCCCTTTGGGGGTCAAATGACCCTTTCACAGGGGTTGCCTAAGACCATTGGAAAACACAGAAATTTAAATTACGATTCCTAACAGCCGCAAAATTAGTCATGAAGTAGTGATGGAAATAATGTTATGATTGGGAGTCGCCACAACCTGAGGGACAGTGTTAGAGTTGCAGCATTAGGAAGGTTGAGAACCACTGCCTTATACAGAGCATACAGACTCACAGCTGGGCGTTTATTCCCACCCACCAAACCTGTGACCCACATGGACAGGTACCAACCAAACCACTTGATGGCCGTCCAGCCGGGACTGTGCATGCAGAAGGTCACACCACAAGCTTGGTTTTCTTCTTCTCACGATGTACTGTGTTCTCCAACTGCTCACATGCTCAAGAGAGGGCAGAGGATGCATGTGGATAGGGGTCTCTCTCCTCTCTCTCTCCCCCCCTCCCCCTTGTGTGTGTGTGTGTGTGTGTGTGTGTGTGTGTGTGTGTGTGTGAGTGTGTGTGTGTGTGTTCACTTTCAAGGGTGAACACTTGGTATGTGTTGTCCTCTGCCAACGACTGCACTGAGCCCAGGAGGCAGCACTCCATTGACCTCTTCTAAGGCCCGCAGAGGCTGAGAGATGTCACGGGAGAACTCGGGTATTCCTGGCCACAGAGTCTGAGCCTGAGCATTCCTGGCTCCAGAGGCACTGCCAGGAATGAGGTCATACAGTTAATCTTTGGAACATAATCTGATCCACTACCTGCCAGTCTGCCAAGGGGACAGCCGAACCAGAGGCTCAGCTTCCTCCTTTTTTTTTTTGGCCCAAAGTAGCAGCACACAAGAGATAGAAGCGAGCTGGCACCAAACCTGTCATGGTGGAGCCATTCCTGTGGACTCTCTCTCTCTCCTTTCTTTTCTGCTGTCATTTCTAGTTTCCTCTTCTGTGCCAAGCTAAGTGCTGCGTATGTGTCACCTGCAGAAAGAAGGTTCCAAAAGGCTCCTGCTTAGTACGCTGTGCCAATGCCAGCCCCCGTAGCCACGGGCTTCTGGAAACTTCAGCTCCCACAGTGTCCCTGGATCTTCCAAGCACCCCTCTCTTTGCTGGCGGTTGTTCTTCCTCCTCTGGCCAAGCTGAGTTCTCTATTCGGCCTCCAGGTCCCGCTGGGCTACCACGGCCTCCCATCCTGTCCTCCGTAACTCCTGTGTTCTTGTCATTGGCGCTGACCCCTAGTGCCATATGGAACCGCGTAAGAAGCTCTCCTTCATCTGTTTCCCCGTGGAACCACGTCACACTCTCCACTGGAGCCGCAGCCTGGAGCCCAGTGCTTGCATGGAGTAGGTCCTCACTGATACTTCACTGGTGAACGAGAGTGAGTGAGATTGCCCTCCCATACCTGCAGACGCACCTTCACGCAGACCTCTTTGAACCCCGCACCTCACTGTGAGGCTCCGCGGGAATCCTCAGTTCACACCTCCTTCGACTTCTCCATGTCCATTTTCTGTCCCGCGCACGGCTGATATTTCAACTTGAGTGCTGTGTCCTTCCCGGGTCCTGCTCCTCATCTCCATCTCTGCCTTCGTGTGATGACCGCCGTGTGGGTCAGATGTCTGGACCTGCGAGACATGGTTTCACGGTTGGGGTGACCTCCCAAGTGCAGGTGGAGATTTGCTGACATCTATCTCCACGCCTTCCCATTCTTGGAGAATTTCAAAGGCAAAAGCACCAGTCCTCATCTTCCCGAGTGCAGCTCCAGGGTCTGGAAAACACACCCGGTACAAAAGACAATTCAAGAATGGATTCCAGGGGCCCGGGAGATGGCTCAGAAGGTAAGGGCACCACTTCCTGACACACCTGGTGATGTGAGTGAGTTTGATTCTCGGGACCCAGCTGTGGAAGGAGAGAGACAGTCTTAGAAGGTGTCCTCTGAACTCCACACAGGCACTGTGGTGGAAATATGTCCATGCTTGTGGGTGGACACATGGACACACACACACACACACACACACACACACACACACACGGACACGGACACGGACACACGGACACACACAAACACAGAAATGGGATAATAATGATTAAAAGAATGAACTCCAGCAGCAGTGCATACTTTTACTAAATATCTCCTACACACATACTCGGTGCTCAATGGTCACCATCTTCCATTTGGTAATGACCTTGTAGTGTGTGGACCATTGAATCGTCCTATAGACTATGACATTAAGATAAATGAGCTGTCCTATGCATGAGAGAGCAGGAAGTTCTAACATGGGGCTTTGTCTCAGATAGCTCAGCCTCACTGAAGGTAGCCTTGAACTCCCGATCCTCCTGCCTCTACTCCCCAAGGGCTGGGGTTCTAGGCATGCATCACCAGACCTGGCTTGGGATCAGAGTTTGAAACTGGACTTTACCACAGAAGGTCTGTGTTCTTTCCTCCCGGTGCTGATTTCTCTAGTGCCCCCAGACAGTGGATCCAGAGGCACAGGCCCCTCAGTGACATTACTCCTCAGTGAGGGCTGCTGAGAACACCTGTGTTTAATTTGAACATTGACGCAGAGGTCCCATCCCTGAAATAGGTGACATAGGCCCGCACAAGCTCCCTTCTTGGACCTCCTGACAGAAGGCTAAATTCGCTGTCTGTGATTGACAGGACACAAAGCAACTGTAATGGGAAGCGCTCTCTCCCACCTCAGCCTCATGCCCAAAGGACATCAGCCCCCACAAACCAGCACGGAGATTAAGTGAAAAATACAATTCACTGAGACTAAGTGAAAGGGCAGCCCATGTGTGCCTGTGTGCGTGAGTGTTTACGTCATCCAAACTGGGGCGAGCTTACCTGAGGAGATGCCCTTCGGCTTCCTCAAACCAAAAGAGGTCACATAGAAATGCCAGTCATGGGTCACGTATGTGTCCAGTGGCTTGATCCCCAGCATCACAAAACGTAAAACAAAGTGGCACAGGGTTTCTATTCTCTTCTATTTACTCATTGTGTGTATGCACATGTGGAGGTCAGAGAACAATTGTTTTTTTTTTTTTGTTGTTGTTGTTGTTGTTTTTTTTTGTTTGTTTGTTTTTGTTTTTTCGAGACAGGGTTTCTCTGTGTAGTTTTGGTGCCTTTCCTGGATCTCACTCTGTAGACCAGGCTGGCCTCGAACTCACAGAGATCCGCCTGGCTCTGCCTCCCGAGTGCTGGGATTAAAGGTGTGCACCACCAACGCCCCGCAGAGAACAGCTTTTGAGAGTTGGTTTTCTCCCTCGACCATATGGGGCCCAGGGATTGAACTCAGGTTGTCAGGCATGGTGGAAAACAACTTTACCCACTGAGCCATCCTGCCTACCCGTGATTCCTTTGTATTCGTGTGTGTGTGTGTGTGTGTGTGTGTGTGTGTGTGTGTGTGTGTGTGTTTATGCACAAGTGCATGTATATACAGATTCCTCAGGGACTATTCACCTTATCTTCTTTGTTGTTGTTGTTGTTGTTTTCCAGAGCTGAGGACCGAACCCAGGGCCTTGGGGCAAGCGCTCTACCACTGAGCTAAATCCCCAACCCCACCTTATCTTTTTTGAGGCAAAGTCTCTCATTGCCCTGAAGATCTCCAATTAGGTTGACTCTGAGTCTCCATCTTTCCCATGCTGGATTACAAGATACACCACCAAGTGCGGCTCTTTTTTTTTTTTTTTTTTTTTTAAATGTGAGTTCTGTGGGATCAAAGTCGTTCCTCATGATTGCAAAGCAAACACTTGACCAATGAGCTATCCCTGCAGCGCGGATAGCATAGGCGTTCTGTGTGGCCAGTGATAGCCCCAAACTCGGGACGGGGAATGCAGCTGGAAGGCGAGGACTCACACAGCACATTCGAGGTTCTGGGTTCCGCCCCCAACCCCGCCATTTGAAAACAAAAGGATGTCAGTCCGTCTGGAGAACTGTCTAAGGCAGAGCCCCTCTTTCCTCTCTTTCCTTTTCTATGCCTGTGCCCCCAGTGGACTCCTCTACAGCTGCTGGCCTGCGAAGGGCGTCTTCCCCCACTGAGTAAACAAGCAGGACTTCACTCTTGATAGAACTGGGTGGAGAATGTTTGAAAATGATTTGGTTTAAAGTTAATCCCGTCACTTCCTCCCCGCCCGCCCGCCCGCCCGCCAGCCCGCCCCCCATCCCCCGGGATCTTTGACCAACACAAAGTCTTTGGGAGTTCACTCAGATGCCATAGTGGGGTCACATTCCACCAATTTCAACCGAAGAAGATGCCATGGAGTGGAAACCTGGCCTGGGTGAGAAGCCAGCCCTGCCCTGCCCCACCCCACCCCACCCCACGCCACCCCACCCCACCCCCAGGGTTCCTCTGAGAACAAGGCCCGGCCCTCCCCTCACCCTGGGGGCCACTGGCCCTGGGGCCTGGGCCCCTTCCTGCAGATCTCTCCCTGAAGTGCTTCCTCTAGCAGGCGTGCTGAGGGCTCTGTGGCATTTCTGGAATGTCCTTCCTCCCAGCTCTGCTCTGCTCTCTCTCTCTCTAACAGGAAGGCTGGGAAATAAAGAGGCCCATTTAAACCTCCCAGGGCCAAGAGAGCACATCTCATAGCTGAGTATTTATGACTGTTACTGTTGCAGAGACGGGGGACCTGTGAATTGCCTGGCACCCCTCCATGGTGTGGAAGTGGAGTTGGCACCCTCTGCACTTGGATGGAGGGTGTGGAGCTGCCCTGGGCAAGGTTGTGCAGAGCTCATATCTCCTCTTCCTCCTCCTGCAGCTATTGGGGCTTCTGAGGGGGCTCCAGAGGTAATCAGCCCCCAAGATCCCCAGGGGAGTCCGAGTGCTATGGGCCAGCAACTAGTCTTTTCTGGAACAGAGGGGTGGACGTTACTATGGGAACGCCCAAGCACAGCATCAGCTTGTGTGGAAAGCAAGGAGGGACCTTTCTAGACAACAGGGGTTCGTCCGCCTCCCTGCCCCGTTGCCCTCACTTTTGTGTGTGTGCGCATTTGTCCACGGGTAGAGGCCAGAGGAGAACCTCAGCTCAGCTCTTGTTTCTCAAGCACCGCCCACCTTTTTTTGTCTGTTTGTTTGTTTCAGATAGGCTCTCATCGGCCTGGAGCTTGCCAAGTAGGCTAGGCTTACCAGCCAGCCCACAGACTCCGGGAGCCTTCCTGTCTCTGCCTCTCCAGAATTGCGATTACAAGCATGCCCTGCCCTGCCTACCGGATTATTTGTTTATTTTACTATTTATTTATTGTAGATTCTGGGGGATTGCACTCAGGCCTTCATGCTTGTATGGCAAGTACTTTACCAGCTGAGCCATCTTCCCGGCCCCTATCCCCTTTATTCAAAACTAGCTCCATCCACAGCTCAGGCCTGCAGTGGCGGGGACTCCCCCCCACTCCACTTGGGCAAACTGGACCAGAGAGGGAGCCACGCTCGCTAATCAGACGCTTGTGACTGATTTTTGACTTACGATTTTTTTTTTTTCTCAACTTCTTCCAGACCCTTGAGAGGAGAAGCTGGTCAAGCCAGGCAGGGCCAGCTGAGTCGGCCAGATGTTGAACAAAGCCCAGAAGCCTGTCTGCAGAGCACACAATGACCGCCCCCTCTATACCCCCCCCCCCACAAGATCCCAGAGAAGTTCTGACAGCTTCCCTGTTTCTTGTTCTAGTCACTCTTGAGGCCCTTGGGTCCCTGATATGTGTTCTGCTATCTTTTTGAAACAGAATGTTCTCTTGGGGCCTAAATTTATGTGACACCATAATACCCTATTAGAATTCTAAAAAGGAAAAAAAAAAAATCAATGGGAATTTCTAGGAACAGCTGTGTGGAGAAACAAAGAAAGGTCACTGTGGGCCAAACCCAAGTAGCCTCACTGTGACAGTGAACACAAGCAAGCCTTGACTTGTCCAGCCAACCCCCACCCCCACCCCTGGTGGTCTGCAGAGCTTTGGGAATAGACAGTCCATTTGCAGAGTGGCCCAAAGATCTCTGAGGGGGAAGGGTTCCCTATTGCAGCCCCCACCCCCAGCCCCTAATATTAAGAGCCGGGAAGAGCTATTGAAGACCACCTCGCCCAAACCAATGTCAGAGAAAGCCTGGCAGGACAGGTGTATCCCCACAGAGAGACAGTGGGCTAGCGAGGAGGCTTTGTGTGAGCTTCTAGGAGCTTCCAGGAACACTGTGGGCATCTGTATATGTAGGTGAGGACAGTGAGCTGAACTTCTGATTATCCCAGCCTCCTCTGCCCGTACCAGCATACACAGCTTTGGGACTAGAAAGAGGAAACCGCTCGTTTTCCCAAAGCAGACTTTGCCTCCCAGAGTCTGGCTTCAAGCTCTACAGTGAACTCCCCAGTTCCACTCCCAGCAGTAACCCCCTTGTCTGCTTTAACTACTGCCCCCCTGCCCTGTTCCCTTCAGTGTGAGGCATTGTGGCTGTGACCAAGAGAACTGTGTTGAAAATGCTGGGGCATGCCGAGTCTGCATTCAGAACCGTCTCACTCAAAATACGCCGAGCGCAGAGGACATTCAACTTTCTGCCCACTCCTAAAGACCTGCCTTTAGTGAGACCGCTCGGCAGGACTGGGGATGGGCATAGCCCCGTCCTCCCCCAGGGACCTGGCATCAGCATCCAGGGAGTGTGGAAGAAAAAGTGATCCCTATTGGAATTCCGAATCCACTCCATTGTGAGAGTTCCCTGGCACCTTTGAGACCCCCCACACCCCAGCCCCAATAATCTCTGCAGCTGTGGCCCAGATTGGCTGAAAACTCTCTGTGTAGCTGAGGACCGAAGGGGTAAAAAAAGAAAGGCCAAGCGGGTACCTTTCGGACCCTGCCAAGGCACGCCACTCAACAAACACGCCACGCGCAACAGAGTTAGTGCGAGAGGTTTATTCGGGGAGGGGACAGACAGACAGAGAGGCAGAGAGAACAGGGACAAGAGGAAGAAGAGAGGCAAGAGAACGAGCTGTGCCTGGTGGGCACTTTTAAGGGTGCACATGTCACATAGCTGACGTGGAAAGGCACCTGGCAGCAGGTGATGGCGTCACCACCTCGTCACCACCTCGGCGGCCTAAGCTGAGTCAGGCTGCTGTCATGGCAGGAACGCCTGTGATCCCAGGCAGAACCAGGCGGATCTCTGTGAGTGCGAGGCCAGCCTGGTCTACAGAGTGAGATCCAGGCAGGACAGGCTCCAAAACTACACGGAGAAACCCTGTCTTGAAAAAAAAAAAAAAAGGTGAGAAAATAGGAAATGGTAGCCGGTAAGGCAGAAACGGGAGCCTCCGGGAATGGGGTATCTTATTCTCTAGACTGCTTCCTGTTGTCTGGGGCTGTCGGCATCTTTGGGGGGACCCGAGAGAGCTGGGATAGCTGGCTGCTTCACTCGCTGTCTTGAATTTCTGATCCTCCTGCCTCCACCTCCCACATGCTAGGATTATGGGCCCTCCCCGTCTAGCCAAGTTTATAAGGCGCCGGGCTTTGGCAAAGCTGGGCAGGTGCTTTTCCAGCTCCTTTATACAGAGCCCCCGCAGTGGTGGAGCTTTAAAGCAGGAACCCTCGTCCTTGCCACCAGCTGCCGATGGGACCTTGGCCCCGCCCGGTCTTCATAAAACAGGAAACCTTCCTAGTGCTGCCCTGCTGTGGAATCAGCTGTTTCCGTCCGAAAGATGGTTCGGGAAGGGGCGTGGTGGCGAGGGACTGCTGAATAGGTATGGGATTTCTTTATAGGGTAATGAAAATATTCTGGCATTATGGGCTGGGCAGATGACTCAGTGGGCAAAGTGCTTGCTGTGCAAGAAATGAGGACCCAGTTTGGATCCCCAGGACCCACATAAAAGGTGGGTGTGGCAGTGTGCACCGAGGGAATCGGGGCAGAGAGGCAGATCCCAGAGGGCTGACTGGCCTGTTAGCCTGGCTCAAACAGAGGCAAGATACAGGTACAACAGAGACCCTGTCTAAACTAAACTAGGGTGCAGAGCAATAGAAGATGCCTGAAGTTGACCTCTGACCTCCACACATGTGCTCAGGTGAGCACACCAGCACGTAGGTGCATACAGGCACAGACACACACACACACACACACACATCACCACCACCATCACCACACTGTGGCCTTAAATGGTGACAGTTAAATTCTGTGACTACCTGCAAACCACTAAACTGTACACTTGAAGAGGGTAGACCTTACCCTTTGTGTGTTTCATTTTGCATATTACTTATGGGAAAAAAAAAAAAAACTAGACAAACAACCACGCCGAAATGGAGAAGGAAAACTGGCAGACCTCCGTAGAATGTGCTTTATCTCAGAAACTCGGGCTCTGGGCAGGAAGAAGGCTTTCCTTTGTCTCGAATCTCAGGGTCTCTTCATTCAAGGGCCTGGGGAAGCTGGGAAGGCTGTGAGTCGGAAGTGATTTGCAAAGGAAAGGAAAGATCAAAGCAGGTACTGAGGTCAGAGTCAGGGATGGGGGGAGGGGGGAGGGGCAGAGGTGAGCTGGGGAGTGGGGATGAGGGGGTGTTTGCTCTTGTCTCCATCTGTGGGACCCCCCCAATCTGTAGGACTCCCCCTTCCGTGCCTGCCATCCTTACAGTGTCCTCAGGAGCAAGGTCACTGAGGAGGATTGCCCATGGCAGGTCATTGATCTTAAAAGGTCACGTGTTTAAAAACCCTTTGGAAGAATAGTCCGGTCTCTGAGACTTTATAGTCCCAACAACTGGCATAGCATCCTGGGATGGGGAGTGGCAGGGAGGGATGGGGGGGGGGGGCGATTCACAGTTTCAGAGCCTCACCTGGTCCAGGAATCCCTTCTGACGTTTCAGGCTTTCCTCTCTCCCTGATCCCTTTGGCCAAAGCTCTGTAATAGTCTCTGTGTCATTTTTGCCCACACTTTGAATTGATAGTGACCGGGAGAACACCGAAGGAAATGAGAGCATTTGGCGAGGTATGGAAACTGCGGCCCTGTTGAAAGGCACATTCATTTTCTGGTGGGTGAGGCGCCTCGCCACCAACCGCCCCGGAGAACTGTATGTACCCCTGCTCTGCTGATGCGTCACCAGCATGACCTGTTTAAACCGTGCTCAGGGTCGGAAGCCAGAGAGGCTTTCTGCCTGTCTGTGTAGGCGTCATCTCCGGGGTCAGGTGTTGGATGTGTCGTGGGCTGAAATATCCCCCCTCCCCCTCATTATCATTACTTTGCCTGTTAAACGGACAGAATTCATCAAAGAGCAGGACTCGGCAGGAGTTTCTGGGTCTGGTGATAAAACACAAATATTTCTCTTTCCAACACCTCCTGAACTCTCAGCCATATATCCATGGCTGTCATTCTACTCACAAAAATAAACCCGAGCTGTGTTAAGCTGCCCTTCTTCCCTTGGCTTGTTCACGTCTGTGTCTGAAATAGCTGTGTTTGTTGTAGCAGCACGTGGTTACGTTGTCTGCTGTGACGGATGGGCCCCTTCCCCCCAAAACGGCCACTGCACCTTGTGAGAATGTCCTCCTCAGCCCTCTAATGGGGAAGAGTCTCTGTGGCTTAGGAGAGGGGGGTCCAGGCTATTCTGAACAATAGGACTGGCGGAAGGTTGTCAAATCTGACTGACTTCGAAAGATCTACCTGTTAGCCACCCAGCCCTGGGCGAGCTGTGTATCTCTTGGCTTAAGTTTTTGGGATGAAGTCTAAGATGATACATGATCAGCCCTTTCATTAATGGTGACTCATTGTTAGAAGCCTCTTTGCCTTGGCAGGCAGCTACGTGGTTCTTGCCTACGCTCAAGGCCTGCTCTCTCTCACCTGCCGCTACCTCCTGCCATGACCTCATAGATGGACTTGCAGACGGAAGTCCAGGGAGGTGGACCCATCCCATATCCTGCCTGAGTATACTTCCTGAATCAGGTCCGTGGACTTCTCCTATCACCCTCTGTTCAATAAGTGGTGCATAAGTCTGTGCTCAGCCACAGGGCTTCATGATGCTGTGGGAATATGAAAACAAAAAGACACACCAGGGCTGCGGAAATGCTCTGCCAGCGTTGGAGATGCTCAGTTGGTACAGGGCTTCCTGTGTAAGCTTGAGGACCTGAGTTCGGATTCTAAGGACCCGTGTAAGAAGGCTGGATGCCTTAGCGTGCACCTAGAATCTCAGAACTGGGAGAGATAAAGGGCAAGATGATCCCCGAGCCTCTCTGGCCAGCCAGCCTAGCACAGTGAGCTCCAGGTTCAGAGGGAGACCATACCTCAAAAAATAAGGTGTAGAGTGATTGAAGAAGACCCCCAGTGTTGGCTGTGTTGACCTCTGGCCTCTACACCCAATCATGCACACATGCACTCCCTAACCCCAAAGACATATTCTTTGTCTTCATATACATAATCTCCACAGGATGTGAGGCCCGACAGATCTATGTATTCTATGAGTTTAATAATACCATGGGTTAGAGGGAGTGTCTGAAAAAGGTCTACATGAGGGAAGTTCTCTAGAGGTAGACCAGTTGTCTACACGGATGGTCAAGGCTAACTGGGACTGGCCTCTGTGAGAGAGGAGAGGCACAAGATGGAGGCTGGAAGATGCCCTCCTAAGGTAGAGTCCCTAGGCTGTGAGGATTTAGGGACTGTCTTGAGAAGAGAAGAGCGCCGAGCGTAGAGAACAACAAAAAGACCAAGTGGGAAATGACATATGCATCACAGGCAGATGTGCTGTAGGTTTGGAAGCCCCAACTTCGTTCCTAGTTTGGTCTACTCTGGTACCGGGTAGCACACACCTAAGGTTACACAGTGGAATGGACAGGAGAGTCACAGCAGCCACAATGCACAGGGAGACACTCGGGAGTCGACGGAGAGAGGCCTTTCCAAGGAAGCAGGAAGAGTGAACACCCAAGAGAGCCGGCTTTGATTTCTCCATAGGTATAGACGAGGGTCATGTGTTCTGTGATGGGCCTTTGGCTCTGACATTTTAGAGGCCTGTTATCCTAGCAAGTGATTATTCTAAAGAGATCTCAAGTTTGGGTCTGCATTTCCTGGCAGCTAAGGAGAAGGGAGGGACACACTGAGTTACATACTTTTCTCTCTCTCTCTCTCTCTCTTTTTTTTTTTCTGACGAAAGAATGCATACAAATGGATTCGCAAGAGCTCTGGCATTTTCCTGGAATGAGGCTTCTGCCAAACTTCCTCTGAGTGTCCCTGTAAAAAGGACACTGGGTAATGGAACGGCCCGTGGCTTCCATCACAGGATTGCAAAAGAGTCGCAGACGTTCGCTGTCCAAATAGGCGATGCCGTTTGGCATTTACAAAGAGGCAGAGGCCACTGGGAAGATCGCAACTCAAGAGCAGCGTTCCTGCTTGTGTTTTCATTGGACGGTGAAGACAAGCGCAGAAGAGACCAGCCAAAGCATGGCTCCGCCCACACCGCCGGACCTCAGCAGAGTCCATCAATGACCCGAGGATGCTTTGTGTTTTATTTTAAGAAGACAATCAAATATACATATGTATATACCTATACATATAAATATATATATGCACATGCATACACGTATATATGGGTTTATGTGCTGTATATGGACATATGCATATATTTGGGTTCCAGGGATTGAACTCAGGTAGGCAAACTTACTTGGCAGGAACTTTTACCCACTGAACCATCTTGCTGGCCAATTTTTATTTTTATATTTATATTTAGTTAGTTAGTTAGTTAGTTTTTCGAGACAGGGTTTCTCTGTGTAGTTTTGGTGCCTGTCCTGGATCTCGTGCTGTAGACCAGGCTGGCCTCGAACTCACAGAGATCCGCCTGCCTCTGCCACCAGAGTGCTGGGATTAAAGGCATGTGCCACCAGCGCCTGGCTCTGGCCAATTTTTATGACTAAAGCAGTTCAGTGTTGTAGAAAATCTGAACTACAGAATAATTGGGGGGTGGGAGACAGGTGAAGACTCACTGAGTGGGGGTGGGTGGGGTGGGTGATACACCCGAATATGAGCAGCAGCATCTCATGGGCCGGGGCCCAGATGGAGGAAAAGGGAAGAGAGAAGGCCAGGCAGCATATGCATCCCCCTTTCTCTGATTCCTATCCCCTTGTGATGTCATTGGAACTTCTCCGCTGTGTCTTCCCAGGGCAGTGAGCTGAAGTCTCTGAAACGTGAGCCAAAATAGCTTCTCCTCCTTTAAAGGCTTCTGTCAGGGTTGTGGTCACAGCCATGGAAAAGGAATGGATACAATGTGATATTTTTTTTTTTTTTTTTAGGTTTTCGAGACAGGGTTTCTCTGTGTAGCTTTGCGCCTTTCCTGGAACTCACTTTGGAGACCAGGCTGGCCTCGAACTCACGGAGATCCGCCTGCCTCTGCCTCCCGAGTGCTGGGATTAAAGGCGTGCGCCACCACCGCCCGGCACAATGTGATATTTTTATAGTAAAAGGAATGGATACAATGTGATAGTTTACATGTATGTATCTGAACGTGGCCATACATTCATTTTCTATCTTCCTTCTTGACCTGCCCTTTCTCTCTTTCTTTTTGGTGTGTGTGTGTGTGTGTGTGTGTGTGTGTGTGTGTGTGTGTGTGTGTGTGTGTGATGGTCAGACAACTTTATGGGAGTGTGTTCTCACCTTCCACCTTGTTGGGGAAAGGTCCCTCCTCCTGGTCCTCAGAAGGAACGAACCTGCTGGTACTGAGGATCGCTGTAGACTTTCTGCCCCCATAAGGAAGGACATTTCTGGTTTTCCTTGTGTTTGTTTCATGTTTTGTTTTTCTGGGAGAGATTCTCAAGTATCCTAGGTCAGCTTTATAGTTGAGAATGCCCCCGAACATCTGGTCCTCCTGCTTCTACCTCCTGAGTGCAGGGATGGCAGATGTATATTGCTATATCCAGTTTATGAGGTGCTGGTGATTGAGCCCAGAGTTTCACGGATGCTAGGCAAGCACTCTACCAATGAGCTGCAGCCGCGGCTTATAAACCTTGTCATGAAAACACCCCAATTTGTGGGATTTGAGTAAAAGCAGACTTCATTACCTCCACTCTGCTTTTTCACTTAAAAATGTAAAGAAAGATTTATTTTACTTTTATTTATATATATTCTTTGTATATGCCACGTGTGTGCAATTGCCCTGCAGGACATGGGAGCCTCTGGAGCTGGAGTTATAGGTTGCTATCAGCTCCTTGACATGGGTGCTGGGAACTGAACTTGGGTCCTTTGCAAGAGAAGCTCATGCTCTCAACCAACAAGCTATCTGCCCAGGCCCCAAAATGTATTTTATAACTGTGTGTGCATGCGTGGGTGCGTGGGTGCATACCTGCCTGCCTGCCTGCCTGTCTGTGTGTCTATGGAGGGCAAAATAGGGCATCCACTATTTTGGAACTGGAGTTGCAGGCAATTGTGAGCCACCCGACTTGAGTGGGTGCTGGGAACCAAACATGGCTATGGACTGGGTACTGAACCCAGATTGTTTGGAAGAGCAACATGTGCTCTTAACTGC